TTGTGGTCGAAAGTGGCCTGTTTCTGACAGAAACTGTCCAGACAATGAAATGTTCTTCTTCAACAGCTAGCAGACTAGTCCAGAGAAACAGGGAAATCGAGTCTCAGAGACACAGGCCACGTTCTGAAAGACCAAGAGTGACAACACCCAGGACCACCACGTCCATCTGATCCATGTTTGGAATAACTGTCCGGGGAGGCTGAGAGATGATATAGCAGTCTTCTGTGATGTGATCGCAGCAGAGAGAGTGTTAGAGTGTTTAATTCACTGATGAATGCCTGATTGCCTTTGACAGACCTGACAGAAGCAAAGAGTTCCGATGGTGTACTCAGCACTCTGCTGACTGTTGTGATTATTCAAGGCGTAGTAGTGGAGTAGTGGAATTGTGATACTGTAGGGAACACAAATCATTGATACAGACAGAGAGGAGCTTCAGTACTCAGCAATAAATTGACAAAGTCCTTGAGCCAACAGTTTTTCCATTCTTGGGAGCCAATCCAGAAGTGTCAATTTCCCATCAGGACAATGCAGAACCGCACAGTACTAGGATTACACTGGCACGATTTCAAGAAAGCGAAACTCGAGGTCTTGTTGAGGCTTGATTTTTCCTGACTTGATTACAATTGAAATTGAACATCCTTCAGTAAACTATCCAGAAGCTGATCAGATCTATATGTTAAAGTTACCAGAATTGTGTTTCTGCCAAGGGATGTAATACATGATCTGATTTTTGAATGTTTTTATTTTGACAGCATGTCATGTTTTATAGCGAACGAATCTCGTAATTCTTTGATCTTTCTTTTTATTGGCGTTTTCTCTGATTTTATTTGATATCAATGTTGAAAATATTTGTCTAAATCTCATAGACCCCAGTGAGCATTTCTTTTATGCATTTCTGTTTTGTCTTTTGAAATAGGTATGCAGACAGAATACACGTATACAGTGTCTTGCTTTTCCATACAGTGTACATGTCAGGTTACGAGTGTTTTTTCAGAGCCGGTGAAATGATTTAAAAATGGAGAAGTATTAGTCTGAAAGGTCAACTTACATAAAGAGAATCCCTGAACTGAAACTAATTGAAAGAAAGGGGAGTTGGAAATGGTTGGATAATGTAGTCTTGTGACTTACAAAGTGCTAAACTTTCTAAGCAGTTTAACACCAAATTTTAAACAATTTGCACCACTGACTGTAGACGTTATTAACAGAAACCTTGGGGTTATGTGGAGCCGGTGACCTGCTGGAACATACCAAGAAATTGCACTGCCTGACAGCAATACTTAACGTGCTCTGTTAAATTAAAAGTGTGATGTCACGTTTTTCCTTAAATTACGGCAGTGGTTGAGTTTCCTGAATATCAAATACCATTAGAAAGTAAATTAGGGGTTATAGTGACTAATTTCCCAGTTCATATGCCCTTAAGGGTCTGGTGTTTTCTTGAGTGGCAAGAAGGTCTGAACCAATTACAACCATATGCACATGGGATAGTGAACTGCAAAGAAAAGACCTGCATGCCACCCACATACCTGCACAATGCAGCATTTAGGAACTCTAACTGCTTTCCAGGCTGCAAACAGGCTATAAATAATGACAGGTTACTATTTTTACTTGCATATGTGTTTCATTAGGCTCTACTTAATAGTTCCTGACAGATCTCTGCATACACATTAAATGATACATGGAAAAATGTATTATAGTGCGTGTAAAAATGAAGGTCTAGTTTCCTGGTAATATGTTAGAATCCAAATTAATGACAAAGAGCATCTTGGATAGTCATAAGAGAGATAATAGCACAGTGCCACACACAATCAAAGAGCTGGAGAAGGAAATTACTTTGATGTCCATGAACTTCAATAGCTTTATGGTTGCAAACACTTTAAAAAACCACAGGGTTTACCATGCAAATGTTATACATACATTTGCTTAAAACTGGTATACTAGCTGTCATTCCTACATGAAAGACTGTCAAATTGTTACTGCCAGACGTACATATTTTCCCTTATATCAGTGTTTAAATTTTTGCTCTGTTTAAAATAATGAGACAATACAAGCAGATACTGAAGCACAGCAGCAAATCCACAATATCTGTATGTATGGCACAGTTCTCATGTTTAACCTTAACTTTTCAAACTTGTGTGGTGTGGTAATTGCACAGCAGAATGAACCTATTGTTCACTTATAAATTATGCTCTTAAGGGCAGATTTTGAAAAAAATTGACATAATTTATTTTTGGGAAAGCGTTCTATCAATGGTATTGTCGCCAAAATGCTTCCTTGCCCTGATTGCAACACACGGAGCTATTCTCAAAATCCATTTACTTGTTTAAATATCATTGATTTACTTAACTTTTTCGTTAGTTTTATAACGTGTTACATTATATTCCCCTAAAATGGAATATTAAAATACAAAAAATATAAACAGCACAGTTTATATAATGCAAATATATTATATAATTGTGAATACAGATTATATATTTTTGTTACATAAGCGTTACCGCACGAAGCTCATTAGCACTCGGGAATGACTCTTTTAAAGCGGTGTTTTATAGTTTTTTGCTTCAGTTGTATATTTTAATATTATATTGCAAAATATTCCTACTATCTGAACCGCCTACCTACAATTCTGTATAAATAATTTCTTAATCTAAGGCATATGCACGTCACATTAGTTGAAATATGTGGTGCTCTTACGCTTAAGCTCCCCCTAGTGGAGGTTAACGCTATTACATGATGCTAGCAGGGTCACCACAAACACCAATGACTGTATTAATAACAATCTTTTATTTAACCAAATAAATATCTCATTTGCATTGATGGCCTGGCCAAGAATTTCCCACTATTGCTGCACGGAAGACAACGCAGTGAATGAAAGAAAATAATAATTTAAAATGAATTAACCTAACAGGACTAAATAATTAAATTCCAGCATCTTGAGTTACGGATTTCAGGTAGAACATAATACATATTCGTTTTTAATAAATCATATAAAATTACTCTTTGCTGTTTTCCCATGTTTTTGATAAAATGATTTTCAGCGAACAAAAATACATACATTAATAAGTGCCCTTTGAAAAGTAGGTAGGCCACGGGTGTCTTTTATTATAAGCATTAGCTGTAAACTCTTATCAAGTTTTCGTTTATCTGCTGGGTCTATATATGTTGTATTATATTTACTTATATGATTGGACATCAGCAAAGTGTCGATTAAAACATAAATTGAAGCTACACAGCAAACCTTTTGGAAAACTGTAGTAGTCAGCCGGAGTACGAACGTCTTTTTCTCTCACCACCAAAAAGTATTTGAACTTGAACCGGCATCTTTGTTTTAATATTTGAAGAAGTCATTCCTCAATTGCATATAAAGGGACGACAATGTAGAATTATGGGGAGAGAAAACTGCGTCTTCAAATGCGCTTTTCCGAACGAGTACAGTATTTACTGTATATCGGTAGCCCCAGTACTAACCTTGACCTAATTAACTTACTGTACAAAATGAAATGTACTAGCTGCAAAATTAAATTGGAAAGGGTACCATACAATATTTCCATATATCCAATTAACTGATGAAACAGTTAAATAAATCGTATCGGAAATATACTAGAAAGTAAAATAATAGCTTTTCTAATACCCTTTGTTGTATTTGTAATATGTTATTATTTAACCACTAGTAGTAGTATTGTAATTACTATTCAAATAAAATCCACTCTTTGAATTTGCATTTAAAATCGCGTGAAAACATTTTTTTTACAAAAGCGCTTTGATTTTGTGTAATGGAAATATTAAATTCGAAATTAATATGCGGTTGATCATTTCAACATTTTCCAAATGTACATTATTATCATCAGCTCGGTATTGATCTAAGATAAATATATTTTTGTCAATATTAAACTGTTTGTTATTATTAGGCTATAAAACAGGTTTCAATTTTCGTTATGTTCCGTAAGTGTTTTGTGAACTTGCGCTAGTGTTTTGTGAACTTATCGGTATAGAATATTATCCGTAATTCCTTACCTCGCAGTCTGCAAGCAAAACATTTTTGCACGACCTCAGGACATTTCATACCATAGTTCGATACCTGCTTTAACCTATTTTATCAAGCTTCCAAAAACATCAGTTGCTCTCCCAAAATGAAAAAAAAAAAGTGTGGCTCTAAATAACTATTTCAAAAGGTTTATTTGTTGTCGCTCCTTTAAAAGTCTTCAATGTTTTTCTTTAATTTTTTGGAGGCATTTGTACTTCTGTTAGTACATCATCGTAATAATCTGTGTTTTTGAAAATTTAAAAATCAATGCAGTACACTCCTACTTTCAGTATCATTAAACTTGGGTTGCTGAGCGTGCTGTTAATGTTGTAGTACGCGGTAATACTGAAACGTTCGAGCTGCGCGTTAAACGCTATTTTCATCATGATTCTAAGACTTTCGTATTTGTTTTATTTTAACTTCATTTTTCAAAAACAAAAAAGTCGGTTATCCTACGTATTCCAAGGGGGAATTAATGTTTTGCAGCGTGTACTACGTGTTACTACACAGAACAAAAAGATATCCGATTCAGACTCGAACCCAACACCTGCTCAATAGAACCCAGCAATCGATTTGCCCTTTGTGATTTCTAATATGTGCAGGTTTGCATATAACGATTTAGTTATACAAGGCCTTTTGGCAGGCGCAAGACTCCGTTCCGAATATGCAATAAGTAGATTTTAAAAATCAAGCGTCAATGCACATTTACGGTCCGGAATATTTTTTTTATTCGTATAATCATTATATTACTGTCGGTGCGTTATGTATTTACGGATTGGTCCGATTATTTTTAAAGCACCTTATGCTGCACAGTTCTTGCCACTGTTTTGGGGGGTAACCAAACTTATTTTTTTCAAGTCTGTTGCGTTTGGAGTCTTAAAAGACTGCCGTTAGAAAAATAGGGGTGGCACCGTTCATTAAAATCAGTAAGCCTAAAGCACAAGTTCCTGTTAACGTCTTCTCTTTATTCATAGGTAAGACCGTTTCTGCTAGGAAACAGCAATAGGCTGCTTTGCTTTGGACTGGGCGGGGATAGAAACTTTCTCATATGACAAGTCTTTTGGAAGGAGTTGTAATACTTGTTAGTCCCACTTCTGCTCAGAGCAGGCTTTGCATATGCTCAATTTAGGAGAAAACAGCGAGGAAAGAGACCCAGGAACGGATATAACCCCGGTAGTCGGGCTTCCTTATAGTTTTATTTTGCTTTCCTGTCTGTCTGAAGATGCCTTCGCCTGACCGCCTATAAATCCCATGTGGGAAGAGAATGACGCGTTTGCTTTGCGAACTGTAAATGGCATCTCCGAAGAAATCCGCCTGCCTATTTGAGAAGACTGGGTTTTCCCTACCAAGCCTGCGTGTTTTCGCGAACTGAAATCTTGGTCTTCGTGTGTCTATTTGGAATACTGTCTGGAGCCCATTTCACTGAAGAATGCAGCATCACTTGGAACTAGGTGCACATTACTATCCTCCTGACCTGCACCCTGACCACAGATCCCATCGATACAGGAGTTTTATGATCGAAGAGATCCTGACTGACCATCCAGACCACAAAGTTTCCGCCCCAACAGGAGAGCTGCTCAAGTTCGGGGTGCAAGCTCTGTTATCAGCAAGACCTTACCACAATCATTTAGGTAAGTCTGACTAGCGTGTAAATCCGGAATGCAAATGTACAGCTGCCTATCAGGCATGTAAATGATAACACACTATAGTCATTGTGGATCTTTAAATAGACTGCCGCGAACTGAGTACAGCGTATCCCCAGATGTGTTGCGTACAAGCAAGAATTTTAAAAAAAAGATTAAGTGAAACCTATAATTGTCTTTTTGTAATCAATTATTGCCACATAAATCTTAACATAAAAAATAATTACACACAAGGCCGTTTTAAAATGCATTCATTTAAAGCCATTTCTTTGTCTAAATATAGAGTGATTTGCTCATTAGGTTTATGAAAATACAAGCTGAGAAATTTATAAATTGAGTTATAAATTATTTCATTAACTGTACCTAGATTATTTTATATTTTGACACAGGAAGTTTCCAGTTGTTAGGACAAGTTTAAAGTGTTCACTAATCCAGGCAAATGCATCATTTGTTATTATTTACTGAATGATGTAAGTTCGGTTTAAGGGTGTATAATGGAAGTGTAGTGTTTTAAGGTATGTTGTTTTCATAAACTAAAAGGATAAATTGTAAAAAAAATATATATTTAATTGAAAACAAGATTTTGGTGATTACATAATTCCATCACCAAGAAAACGGAATTAATTACAAGCAGAAATACATCTAGTTTTCTTAAGGAAAACAAATGACAAATTACTGGAATGCAGTCCACAGCCCATGCATGCGTATTCAAAGCACGAACATTTAATAAAGATGTTAAAACAGGTTAAAACAATCCATTCCTGGCATTTGTTTCTATAATGTTAAGTGTTCAGTACTTCTAATGCCTGCGGCCTGTACTTATGTGTACTTTTGAGAACTTGATCTTATGTATTTTGGAAATTTGAAGAACTTCACTTTTAAGCCTAATATCTCAGAAATCAATTTAATCAATTTCCCTACGGGGTCAATAAAGTCTTATCTATCTCAAATATAATCACTTTTGTCAAGTAAGCGAGCGTTTCTTTGTTAGAAAAATTGACTGCGCTGCAGCTTTTGGTTTAGTGTCATCAGCTCCATAAATATAAGGAAAACATTTTGTATTAATAAAAACGTTTTAATTAATCTTGTGTGGTCGGGTAGATCATGTACTGTCCACGCATAAAAATAACATGAGAGGATTTTGTATTAAAGTGTCGTGAGTAGGAAAATTTAATTTAGAATTCGTTCATTTTCTATTTCCCAGCAAGGTAGATTTAACTTAGCACACAGACCAATTTTTCAGTCTGTGCAGTAAAAATCAAAATAGAGCAAATACATACAGTAGTTATTTTTAAATGTCAACATTTCACCCGGGTAAACGACACGCAGTGGTTTCCGTTTAACCCTCGATGTGGGTTTCTCTTAAAATATATCAGCTCGTATTATGGACCGAATACCCCCCCATTAAAACTGAAATATGAGTGAAATTTAAAAGTTAGTTGTAAAATATAAATATTTAAAAAGTAATTTAGGCGCCCATATTAACAAGGTGCAACCGAGATGTAGCTAAATCTACCAGATATTATTATTATTTAATGGCTTTCATTTTATCGATTAAAATTAATGTCTCCATCTCAGCATGTTATCATGGTTTTTTGAAATTATGTTTTATATATATATACTAGTTAGCTGTCGCGCCCCTAACTGAAACAAACATCGTTTTCAAATAGGCTTGCGCATCGTATTAGAAATAATTTGCGTCATAAATAATTTCAGACGTGTTTTCCGGAGTTGTTATTTTTGTATTGGGTCACATGTCCCGTGGATGATTTTTCTGTTATTGTCATATTTTTTTTGATCACTAGTTTTGAAGGCGGACCAGACGAGTGTTTTTAAATTCCCCATGCCTCCGCTATCCTGCTCCCTCGGCGCCCCGCTGGGGTCAGCGCTGCTGTCCGGAGGATCCGGCCTGTCAGCCGGGCAAGGTTCGCACCACCTGCCGCTGGATCTTCACCTCCGGAGTAAACTCGACCCGGTGTCGGATGCAGGAAGCAAGACGAAAAAGGGCAGACGGAGTCGGACCGTCTTTACTGAACTGCAGCTCATGGGGTTGGAAAAAAGGTTCGAGAAGCAAAAATATCTCTCCACACCAGACAGGTACGTCCTGGGATTCCTGAACTGCACATATGCCTTTTATATATACATAGTTTAACTGTCTACAAATGTCCGGCTGATCTGATGTGATGCGCGGTGGGGCGGCTGGCATCATCCAGGTGGGGGGCTGTGTTTCAGGGGGGCTGAAGCGCATCACCTTACACGTGAAACGTTTCGGGGTCTTTGAGAGTGGAAAGGCCTGCACAAATGCAAGCAGTTCAATAAATGATTATTAGAAAGCAGACTGGACTAGTGCTGCTACAGTTAGGCCTGTTGTTTCCAGTCGTGCTATACAGATATACAGATATATATATATACGTGCTATATATATAAAAATAATGATCAACATCATAGCTCACAGACAGTTCTGTACAGCCTGTGTAGACGTTTTGACTGTAAGTCAGTGGGGGGTTAAACAAATCCCACAGTCACGCTTTAAATGTGTCAGAATGAATGATTGAATTACCAGTATGAAAATACAAGTTTGTTTCTGGAGCGACACACACCTCACCGTGCGAACCGCAGGCCGAATAATCTTCTATTTAATTCCACAGAATAGACCTGGCAGAGTCACTGGGTCTTAGTCAGCTGCAAGTAAAAACGTGGTATCAAAACAGAAGAATGAAGTGGAAGAAAATTGTGAGTATCATTTTCTAATTTTTGTGCACGACGTTGACCTGAACGTGTCTATTCCCGTGACACTACTCGACCAAGCGCGCAATTCTTTCTCATGCGGGGAGACGAGGCAGATTTTTTCTGAATCATGTCCAACCTCCACCTTGACCCTTGGCACCCCCCTCGGCCTAGAAATATGAATGGACTGTAACATAAGTCTGGGGCAATAACAACAAAATAAAAGAACTGCTATAGGTGTCAGTTAAAATGACCTACTCACTCCACACACTTCACATAGGGTGTTACCGTGTGCTGCAGCGTAACTCATAAGGACTGGCTTCATTTTCAGGTTTTGCAAGGCGGAGGCCTAGAATCACCCACCAAGCCCAAAGGGCGCCCGAAGAAGAACTCGATTCCCAGCAGTGAGCAGCTTTCGGAGCAGGAAAGGTCCCGGGACGCAGACCGCCAATCCGACGGCTCTTCCTCGGCACAGTGTGACGTCAGCCAGGAGGAGTAGAACGGGCTGGGTGTTGATGCGCATGGACTTATGGCACCGAGCACTGAGCAGCCGGGCGCTCGTTTTTTTGGGATGTACCCTCGACCGTCGCTAGCTTGGCACTAATGACTGATGTACCATATGTGGTAGTCTTTTCCATATTTTATTTTTCGTTTTCAAATAAAAAAAAAAAAGTTTAGGTTTTCAGCAAGTAAGGACTCTTCTAATTTTATTCTGTATCTTTAGCGGGGATGAACTGATGTGCCTCAGTCATCTTCTAAAAGAGGAATCGGAAGCGATATTTCAGTGGTCAGTAGGTCAGCACTGACTTTGGTATTTAAGGACAATATTGACTTGCACGTAAAATACAGGCCCTGTTCTGTTACGTTCCCTGTTCTTCTTCCAAGAATGCATTTATTTTTTTAAAGAAACACAACGGATTTATCCATTAAAACCTGTTTCATACTTTGCTCTGTGAGTTCTTAGTTCCTGTGGCGATTTTCAATCACGAGAACGATTTGTTTTTTTTTGGAAGGTTCCTCACTTGTCGGCGTGTGCGTGTGTTGGGAAGGAGTGAAGGTCACCGGGCTGTGACCCCAATGAAGTTATTTTAAAAAAACGAGCTTCATTTTCTGAAGTTACGCAAGGACTGAATCCTAAACGTTATATTATATAAGCTGTCCCTCTTCCCCGGGGCTATCATTCCTACTGGGAACCACCTATATTTTAACACCTATATATATATGAATAAAACACCTATTAAAATAAAACTTTGCAGAATTTTAAAAAGATGATCTGACACGTTGTTTGCTTCTCTTCTGCTGGTTTGCTATATTTAAGTGCGGAACATATGTCATAATGTTCTTGTCTTCCTATAGGAATTAATTCTGGGTATAGTAAATTCGATTTCAATCATTGAAAAATAGCCACCTTTCCATTTCCGCACTTTTCACTGGTTTATTATTATTATTATTATTATTATTATTATTATTATTATTATTATTATTATTCATAATGATAATGTCTGGGCCTGCCCTTTAAAACACTCAGGCCTACAGAATTGTTTATTTTATGTTTTATTAAGTTGTGTTGCACAAGTGTTAACCTTTCCCAAAATGTACAGTGTTACAGTATTACGTCGACGGACAGGAGTTTGAAACATGATTTCACTTAGATTTTCTGGCCTGGAACTCGAGCGAAACAAGAGCCAAAAAAACAATGTTCAGAAAAGGATAGAGCAATTTTCATGGTGTTTTCTTACTGTCAGGATATGTTGTTTTTACACGCGTTTGTGTCCATAAAAGCTTCCATGTCAATTTAACTCATTCTTGCGATCACGCTGTACCGCTGCCACGTTAGTCCGTTTGACAGAGGCTCCAAGTAGCATAATTATAGTCGAATTTCTTACAATAGTGACATTAAGTTTATGCTGTTTTAATTCTCAGCAGTTGGCGCTTTATTTTGTTCGGAATCTATTTCAGAGCATTGCTTTAAAAACGCGTTTTTGACACACAGTATAATACATTTAGGTTTTTTTAAGTGCCACACGGAAATCAGGAGAGCAGACAGACTTTGCCTCTTGCTTTTCGTTAGTAAATGGGACATTTGAAATCATTAAAACATCCCCGAAAAGCAGATTAAAGCAGTTTTTTTCTTGTAAAAACTGTCGAAGCTGCTTTGCAACAGATGGATATTGTGTTACATACTACAGCGGAAAAGAACATAATTACGTCAGTACAGCTGGATCGTTGCAATAACTTGTATTAGTGGCCGGGGGCATTAATTAGACATTAATAACAGCAGATCTGGACGAAACTGCCACGGGCTCTTCTGTTTTTAGATTCGGCAAGGTTACCTTCAAAAGGGGTGAACTCAGCACCTCATCGCGGGCGTTTGGCGCAGCTCAAAATAATTACTGTTTAAGACCTTGCTTTCGTCACACGCTTTCAGCAACACCTTAAAACTGTTTCCACTCACAAAAAAGAGATTATTGCCTTTTAGCAGTCAAAGGGTAAAGGTGTGAAGGTGCGAAAAATGAAATTCAATAGGTGAGTAAACACGACACGAACACACCAGCCTCAATACTACTACTACTAACAATAATAATACAACTAATAAACCGTACCCAAGTGGTGTGATATACTGTATATGCAAGATGTCACCATTTTCCTCTTCACAAAGTGGTTCAAAAACGGTTAAAAATGTAAAAAATGTATTGAGCCTGTTCAAAATGCTGTTTACCCGTTTCATATTACATGAATTCGGTGCGGTGTGAAATTATACGCCTGTTGTGCATTCGTGTTCCGTTGGTCGTGCTGAGGGCAATAAAATCTGTTGCAGAAGCAGGGTTTTTCTTTTAGGCCCAATTGTTTCATTCACGGCGGTGTTGTCAGAAACAGCAACGTCTCCTCGTTAAGAAATTGCGTTGTAATGTTGGATTGGAAAGGGGTCCCATATTGCTCCTGTAGAATGTCCTAAAGCACTAAATGCCTTTTCTGCAGAACTTCTTTATAGTGTGAGCGAACCATGGTGCGGTTTATACAGCATCCGACGTGCAGGTAACATAGAATAGGTTTACATTTCACGCCACAGTTTATGATAATTTTGATTAAAAAAATACTTTCATCGCAGTTAGGAAAGAACACCCACAGAGTGTTAGAATTAGGGAAAAAAACAAAGCCTGAATATGATAGGTAGGTATACGGTACGTTGTAGGCTGCGCTTTTCATCAGATACGCCTTTTCTGAAGCTGCCACGACTGTGCCATTTAAATCGCTACATAACCTATTGGAAATGAAGTGAGATCTTTAATTTGAAAATTAAAGAAAAAAAAGGTAATTTAATTTTTTCTCAATCAGGGGAACTCTTGTCTGTTATTCCACAGTGTTATTTTATAACACTGCATGCAAGACCTGTTGACCAGAGACTGAGGAGTGAATGAATCAACTTTTGCGGTCCAATTTTCAGTTGCTTCTGCCTCTGATGTATTCTTTACAGAATGCTGTTAAACGGTGCGGGGTTGTTGTGTTTTTGTAATGTTTTTGACATCTTGAATTCCGGGCCTGGATGAATATCTTCAAAGAGGTTCGTAAGAAAAAAAAAACAGTAGTAGTTGTGCATTTTTAGAAACTTTTAAGAATTTCGTTTTAATAAATATGAAGAAATTCAATAGAATCAGACCTATATCGTTGTTAAAATGTCAGTTATTTCACATGCAGTGGATGTTGAGCAGTAGAATTTACTTTGAAACTATTTGAGCTTGCCAAATACTGTATGCTCGACTCTGATTTCTGAAGTCTGAGGTCTGGTGGCGCAGGCAATAAATCTAGTTAGAGCTATTTTACCCCTCTGAGGTCAACTAGATACATTAAATATTATTTTACAGCTCCAGCAGAAAAGCCAAAATGGCGACATTTTCCAGGCATTTCATACAGGACATCTTTTTTCTTGATTAAAAACAATTGTAATATAAGGCTACTTATACTACTCTCCAGTATAAATGTTCATGAAAAGACTGGTTGACGATCTAGAAGATTCAGGCTCGCCAATAGACCTTTCCTGAAAAAGCTGCCGTGTTTACACAAACACAATATCTGCTTTCTGGTTATAACCTCTTCCATACAATAAGTTATTTTTGTTAGGTCTTATAGCTGCGTTTTAATTAATTTATTTAATTTGTTGATGTTAAAAACTTAATCTGAATGGTGTTTTTTTTATTGTGTCAGGTTCCTATACTGTATATTTGAAATTGTAACGTGTGAAAGAAGTGAAAAGTTTTTTCCCTCTTATTGTAACAGTACCACGACATAATGCATGGATTTAAAAATACACAACACTTCTCTTCATGTCTTCAGATTCATTTTTCATTGGCATTCTTATCTGAGGTAGGATGTGTCACACGTTTTAATTTTTACAGAAGTTCTTGTTTATAGTCTCAGAAAATATAAGTTATATGTAACCTTTAACCACTTTACATAAATTGACTTTTAAGATCTTTAATTTGGGGCAGAAGTGTTTAGAATTAGATTTAACTACTTGGCTGAGGGAGATCTTTACAGAATGCCAATTTTCATTAAAACTTGAATTCAGGGAGAACTTGTTTACTCTGTAGTGTAAATATGTGGTATGTGCCATTGAATAACACAACATTTTCAGAACTTTGAACCGAGTTATTTATTCTAGCAGAAATATTTACAGAAATCTTTTTAATCACATAAATTGGCTTCAATGGCGTGGCTGTTGAGGATTTGCATAAAGGAGGAATACCAGGGGAAATGAGTTTACAGTAATTACCAAGTGCTTGCTGAACTCCCGCCTACATAACACCGAGCTGAATGATGACTTGTTAGACACGGTATTAAGCTGTACAGGCAGCAGGAGAGACAGTATTCAGAAATATTATTTTTTAACAGCATTTTCTATGACCAAAAAAAACAAAAGAGAAAGTCGTGCTTAACATCCTCTTGATCATGGGCAGAGGCGATGTTTTTTTATGTTTCAGATTAAATTTGACTTTTGTTCTTCTCTAAAAAAAACTGTTCAGGTACAGCGCATCTTTTGAGGTGTAAAATATCAGCATTTAATAATTCACTTTAAAAATTGTGCACACATACAGTATGTATATTCTATTCTATTTGTATATGTAAAGTATGTACAGTGAAATGCCTATATGTATTGATAGGGTTTTTGTTCTTGAGCTCATTAAAAAAATACATCTACTTTTAGAATTTATTTTTCTGAGACTATGAAGATTAATTTTACTCTGTTACTTTTTTCTTTACTCATTACAGAACTCCATCCTGCAACAAGTTAACATGGGCCTCTGAAGATGCCTAATGAGAGGCGATGGGTTACAGAAGTTATTTAAGGTATAGTTTGGATTATTTCAATAAAACACATGCCAAATAAACATCTGAATTGGTCTCCCTTTCCTTCCAAACTCTTACTCCACTTTTTTCACAGTCACTTACAAATAGCTTCATTGAAATACTTGTCCATAACTCACAGACCTCCTCAGCAATTTCAGATGCCTGCCTGTAGTGTTTCTAATTTAATGGTTGGTGTTCCAGTAATTGAACATAATTGGATTAAATATCACGTTTCACAATATGTTTCGATGTTTCACTTCAGGATACGTTAATAAACTGTCAATAGTATTTTATACTGTTGGCTCAGTTTATACTTTTTGTGACGGCGATGCACGATAATCACGTCTTTGAAGTGTTTTCAAGCAAATGACCTGTCTGAAATCTCAAATACACTACAAAATTCGCCATTCGGGATTTCACACATCGATCTTTATCATTTGTCGGCTGTTTGCGATGTATTATATTTAAGATGGTCATTTTAAGAGAGCGTTCATATCAAAATAATTTGTTTTTAAAGAATTTGAAAGTAAGTGTGTGCTTCTGTATATATGTCCATGTGTGTTAAGAGAGGATTTACCGATATGCAGTAAGCCTACTCTA